TAGAATACATCACAGTTACATTTTTTATGGGCATTTGCTAGCAATAGTATTACAAGATATATATGTATATATCTAAATATATATACATATATGTTACATTTTCAAAGAGACCAGAGAATGTTCAGTGAAGTGTCAAATAGCATTCCTTTTATTGTAATGTTTGTAGTTTGTGAGCATGAATGAGAAACGAAAACTAACGAGTTGCGATGGATGAATTAAATTACATAGTTTGCAGGTGAATTTAGTTTTTTTTTTTCTAGTTTTACACTAATAATAGAATGCGATAAATGTCATTTATGCTGTTTCGTATAATAGGACCTGCCGTCATTATTTGTTTGTTTTAGGATATGATGTTACATGTTATACTGTGATGTATTCGTATTACCTATCAAATCGTTGCATTCTAATATATACTAGAACAATACATTTGTCAAATTTATTGCGACAAAATGTACGTCGGCAAAAAGCCAAAGCATTACAAAAAAATCTCCATTTGAACGATTATCTATGACTTACTAGGTAGTAGTTAAAATTGTGAGGGACTTTCCAGTGTAACTTACGTCCTTTTGGAAAACAAATCCAACATTTTTCAGTTGTTTATTGGAGCTAGGATTTGTCGCGTTTATTTGATTGATCAGTTCGATAGTTGATTTTATATTTTCTAAAAGGACGCAGTTTATACACCGAAGACTAACAATTTTATCTGCAAGAATCCAGGCGGCCATGGAAGCGTCGAGGATTTAACCAGATAGTAGTCTTTTTGTAAATACTAGGTAAAAATGTTATTTATATGACCATTATAATTAAATAAAATGGTTCAATTTAGTTTGACATTATTGCTGTATACATTATATATTATTATTTTACATTCAACAATATATAATCGTATTTTTTCATACAATAGATTGAACGCATTTAATTTTCGATTCAACTTCGAATACATTTGCTCTGTATACAATCATTTTTGGAATTTATTATAATTTTTTGAATATTCAATACAACAAGATAACTAGCTTTTATCTATAATACATTACAGTGTTGTACTATTATGTTATTGTGCCATATGATATGTACTTTCATTGTCAGTAAAAAGCAACAAAAATTTTTATAATCATTTGTCTGTATATATTTAAACGAACTTATACATTTATACACAAGTCTTAGCTGGTAAAAAAATTAATTCAACCATTAATATTCTTTTTTGAAAATGCCTTTTTCTATGGTGGTTATAAAAAGGATTAACCAAGATACAAAATGATTTACAAAACCATTTATTTAGATTTAAATAATAAATGATTATTATAACGGGATATAATGATGTATAACTAGATACATATACGCAATGACATGGACTATAATACAATGATCAAGATTCTATTGTACATACTTTATTATATTGCCACCGTTGCTAAAAGCACTGTAATGTCATCTGGTTTACCACCTGAAAAATATAAAAAAAAGCATTGTGGATATTCACGTTAATGAATATGAATATATGAATATTTGAATTTAGTCCTGCAGTGAAGTGAAGCAGTTATCCTAGTTCAAAAAATTAGTAATAAGATCCACTTCTTTAGACAAAACCGGCATATTTGTACAAGTTTTTTATTCTACTTTACTACAAAGTTATTACCAAAGTATAAGAGGCAAACATACGTACATAAGATATAATAAATTGTGAAATGTATGCTATAAATAAATTGAATATATTTTTTATTAAAAATAATGTGTACTGTAAATAGAAAATACTGAACTAATATGCAGTAACTTTAACGTGATAGTACATAATATTGTATTTGAAACAGACTCAAATAATTTTGTACAATGTTTCTAATATTAACATTGTTTCCATACCTATAGTGTCAATTCCATTCTCTCTAGCACTTTGGGCGAATGGAGACATAAATGCGCCGTCAAAAGCTAAACTACGTGCCATCCAGGCTATTGAGTTGGCAACTCCTTGTATTTTAGTGGGATCTCTTTCTCCCTGAATTTTACGCATTTCAGTAATAAGTAATTGGTCAGGCACATTATCAAATACCCCATCTGTTGCTAGAAGAATTACATCTCCATCTTCAACTCCAAAACTCGAAGTATCTGCAGATTCTGGACTAGAGTTAGAACACAAATGTAAAGATATGTTGATAAGAGACTTTATAGAATACATTATGTAATTTCATAGTATATCTCTAAGTATATTTGTCTTGATAAAATGTAATACCTGTCACTAAGCACCAGCCCAGAATGTCCTGGAGGTGGAAGAGACAACTGAAATGGAGTATTGAAGTAGTGTTGTTGTTCGGAAGAACGATGTACTACTTCTCCTTTTCTTACAACTACAAAACCACTATCACCAATATTAGCTGTATAAATGCTGCTTGTCTCTTTATTAAGAACTATAACACATGCAGTACTGCTACCTAAAACAATGGTACAACTATGTTAGCAAAGAAATCATTGCAAAGAACTGCAAATCACAAATAGTTTCCTTTACCTAATATGGGTTGTTTATTTTCTAATAATTCATAGTAACTATGTGCTAATAAACCAGCTGGTTCAGAAGGTTTGAACCTGCCCAAAGAGACCAGTCTTTCACAAGTTCTCATTAGAAAACTAGAAAACTCTCCTGGATCGATTCCATAATGTCTCCATCCACCTACACCATCAGCTACACCTAAAAAATTTTCACCAGGTGAAAAAATAGAAATGCTTGTGTTTTTACAAAAACACATTAGAATCTAATAATCAGGAATATAAATGTAGAAAATCCAGAACGCCCACGAGTTTCGTTAAATAGAGAATGATCAGTTTGAGTGTATCTTGACAGTTCCAACAGAGTGACATTACCTACAACTTCAACAGCCTTGAGTTTGGCACTGAACCAAGCGTCATCACCGAACTGTCCTTTACTCATACGTCCCCGTGAAAAATCTTTGGGAAAACCACATACAGCAGAAATGAATGACGCTTCGCGACGTTTATTCACGTTCGGGTCGGTGCATGCTGAATAATTTGATATGCCGTTCCATATCGCCCGAGACAGCAGCCTCCCGGTCCAATAAATGGACTGCATCGTACGGTGAGGCTCAAATTTTCATGACGCACATCTTTAATAGCTAAACGACGAATCTGCATGAATCGTGCAGTCAATTCACAGCCCGTTCGGAGGCATGTTTTGTTGTTTCCTATGGAGGTGCATGTAACGTCGATTGATCCTGTCGGTTGTTCCTCTTGTTACACTTAGCATCGACTACACTCTTCTCGAATTCCGATCTACGTTCAACGAAACGAAGATCGGTGACCGCGATTCCAACTGAAATTATCTCCTGCTACGATGTAACTCGAGAAAGTAAGTACCTACTAGTACTACTAAATAACCAACTTGAACACCGTTAACATCATACCTACATAACTATACCCTTTGCGACAAACTTCAGGTCGCTGCTTGGCGGGGAGAACTATTATTGTTGGAAGACACACTTTTCTCACTAAAGAGTGTCACCAAAGTGAATAAAAGCGTCGATTAAAAGATTATCAGTTACTGAAAAGTCTCTATTTTTTAGGATTTAGTAGAAGAAAGTAAATCCTTATGTTTTTATTGTAAAAAATTTAAATATGTTCAGAAACAGGATAAATACGGGAATACGGTATTCGCGTTTGTTCCAATGTTGGCATTATTTAAAATCGTTGCTTTAGAAATATATTAGTCCGATCATTTACATTAACAACATCATTAAAGTTATGTAAATGAATCAGTAAAATTGAAAATTTCATATGTGATCGGTAAAAAAATCAAATCAATAAAAAGAGTCTGAAGTTAGTCGTTGAAATCGAGCGCGAAGGGTATCGAAAATTTAAACTATTTTAGTTTTGCATATGGAGTCGTCGCGTTCGCGGGTATGTCGATAGTGATTTTTCGGCAAAAGTTTGTGATTAATTGACGCGGATGTGCAGTGAAAACGCAGATACAGACCATCCAGCAACAATCAAGGAATGTACGTCCATTGTTTTTTCAGTTTTTAAGATACACCAATTTTTTGAGAGAATCGGCAAATTGGTTCAATCGCAAAGGAGAATAGAATTGAAAAGTAAACCAGTAAAGAAGGAGAATATTTATATTCTTATAATTGTGAATAGTTTTGTAATAAAGTAATAAAGTAGAAAGATATTTCAATTAAAAGGAGGGTGTAATAGTTAATTTCATCGAGTACAAATTTTACAGGAAAATAGATAGTCGTTTGGGGAACGTCTACGTTTGCCGTATTAAATTTGATATTGTGCGGATACAATTATAATTATACTATTGTCACTATTTCTGGTTAATAAAATTATATATTAATATTGCATAGTAAAATTGAAAATTTAGATCAAGTTCGAATAGTAAATTCGAATCGAAGATAGGGGTCTGAAGTTGGTCGTGCGATGACGCGTTCCAATTCTCGAACATGTATCGAGAATTTAAAAATTCCAGTTCAGTTTTGCATACGGAGTAGTCACGTTCGTGGGTATTGCGTCGTTTGTGATTTGTTCAGGAAAACTTTGTCTTTATTTCGTGTGAAAAAGTTTAAAAATTAATGATGACATGCTGAGGAAAGAAAGGCAGAGACTATCCTGCAACAATGGGTGAGTGTATCTCCACTGTTCCTTCTTTTTTTAACCTATGTCAGATTTTCGAAGGAATTGACTGGTTACTTTGATCATAAAGGGAATGGAATTGAAAAGTAAACGAATGTGAAAGGACATCATTTATATTTTTATCGTTACGAATAGTTTTGTAATAAAGTAGAAAAGTATTTTGTTTAAATAAAGAGTGTAATAGTCAATTTCGTCGGAAATGAATTTCAAGAGAAGTAGGCAGTTGTTTGGCGCGCTTTCACGTTCGCCATATTGGATTCCATATCTAGTTCCGCGCAATATTCTCAAATAATTTGGTTACTTTTCGGATATTGCGCGGATACGATTATAACTTGGGGTGAAATAACACTAGAATGAACAGCGACCATGTCCTTTGAGTAAATCGCTTTACTAATGTTTATTAATAAACATTTCATATAGATTATTTTAATTCATATAATTTAATACTTGTTTACCGTTGTTTTTTCTTTTCTCTTGTTCTTGTTGTTGTTGATGTTGTTGTTGTTGTTTCGATCAATAGTTTATCGTTATATTTACACTATTCAGTATAAAATGCGAGTTCAAGATTAAATCACACCACTATGTTTTATGGACACTATCTGTCATCGATTAATAATTATCAATGCTTGTACTCAGGAAAATGCGAAGGGGGCAGTAGGGCAGTATTTTCGTTATCACTAGTGTTGTTGGTATTTAATTCTTTAGGGGATCCATTATTTATGTTACAATCTAGACTAAAGTTATCGTCTAGTGGGCATTTGTTAATATTAGGCAAGTGATTAACATCGATTCCACGAACGTCGGGGAGCTTTTGTTGTTTCTGGTGGGATTGAGCATTTTCAGTCTCCTCGTTCTCGAGACCGTTATCAGTAGTGTGGGGTGGGGATGGATAATAGCCGCGCTGCTGTATTGGCAGTTGTTGTTCCACCGGCAGTTGGTGTTGTTCTTGTTGCTGTTGTTGTTGTTGTTGTTGCTGCGACGATGACTGCGGTTGCTGCTGCTGTTGAGGCTGCTGCGCTTGATGGTGACGCTGCTGTTGTTGCTGTTGGTGACGGTGTTCTCGCTGTGAGCGATGACGCTGCAGCAACGGCATCGTGTCACCGGTCATCGCAGGTGGCGGCTGTGGCTGCGGCGGCGGCTGCTGCGGTGGCCGGTGTTGTACTCCGTCCTCACTAATCCATCGGGCTAACTGTTGTTGAGCTTGAATAAATGCATCACTAGAAAATAACAAGATTACACGAGCCCGTTGGATCTATTCCACGACCACTAATGCTGCATACGCACGCGCTGCGGTGTACGCGCCTTTACGTTACAGCCACCGCCCCTTCGAACCAAGCTCCTAATTTCGACAGATCCCTCCCACCCCTTCCTCTCTTTTAATCCTTCCCACTTACCTTACCTAATAACCGCACTATCTATCGTCTATGCACGCGCTATCGATCTCGCTTGTATTAACCCTTTCACTCCCTTTCATTTCAATTTGACATTTCATTTTGATAAATCTCGGTATAAGCTGCAGAACATGGAGAGAATAAAATATTATAAATTATGAGGGGAGGTTCTGGCACATGTAGATTTTACTCAAAATTCAACAATCGTTATTTTGTTCTGCACGATCAAGCAGCAGATCGTACTTTGTTTTTGTTTCTTTTACCGGAGTTAACCTTACGCGTGTAACGAGTAGTCAGGAACCTCCCCTTGCAATTGAGGATAACGCGTGCACACACGTGTAACGTACACAGAAAGCTCACTAGCGATTGCTCACGTGCGAAGCTTTGATGCGAAACTGCAACCCATCGAAAATATATCCGTGATTCATGAACAAGGAAGGAAACCTTCAGATAAGGATGAGTGCCGATCGTTCTAACGCGTCTCAAACCGCAGATAATCGCGTTTGAGTAGAGGCCTTTTCTTCGAGTCTCGGGTATATCGCGTGACTCGCACTAGACTCCACTACCGCCACGTATATCTACTACGGATGCTTGCAACGCTCAAAGGGAAACCACAGAGCGTTAGTCTTGCGGCACACATTCATTTCGCAGCGCATTTGCAGAAGCAGCTAAGAGAACAATAGAGTATAGCATGCTTAGGTTGGTGTGTTTGAATTTCTCTGTATCTCTGTCCTTCGTGGAAACCTCAGTTCGTACAGAGACTTGCAGATCTTGTT